TGCTGCTGCTGCTGCTGCTGCTGCTGATCTTCACTTATGCAAGCTTTCTTTCGAACCCAATTTTCACCCGACGTCTTCGTCCTTTTTCGCCGTCAGTTTTTGAAATCTTACATACAAAGACGTTTAGACATGATTGCCTGTTTTAGGCTTCAATTGTGCGCAGTTCAGAACATCTAAGAGATGTACTGCTTTCTAGTCAGAACTTGTCAGTCAAGGCCACCATGGTTGTGTTGGTTATTTTCCTGCGAAAAGACAGAATTTTGTTCTTTGATAAATATGTTATCCTGTTAAAAAAATAATAAGAGTTTTTCGGCACTTGCAACACAATAAGGTCATAGAAGTTCCAAAGATTAGATGTGTTACAACAGAGAACCAAACACACACAAAAAATGAAGGATATGAGATAAGGAAGACTTATTTTTAATTGGAAAGAAGGAGCAAATCACACCAGACCACCAGCCAACCACTCACATATTATTATCTTCCCTAGACGGAATCATCTAATGTCGCGTACAGTGTGGAGAACCTAACTACTGTGCCGTTGACACCGATCTGTGCTGACATTACATGCAATGCTAGATCTGAAAGAAACGTCGCATACGAGTTCGCTATTCGTTTCTTTTCTGGGATTCTCCCCCGTTACCCATCTATTTCAGTTCTATACGCGAATTTGGCTTGGACCACCCTTCCCTCGTTTGAGGTACATTTTTACAATGAGAACAGAATGTCTAAGGCGTTTAATATATTGATTGAAGAATCCGAGAAACTGCATTTACCTCTTCATAATTCTTTTTTATGGCCTTCGCTAGCTTTTTGCCGTACTGCTTGATTTGACTTCTTTTCCTTCCATGAAATTCTCAACAATCTTCTAAGAAACGAAATTTCCATTGCTTCAATTTTATTTTCCCTATCTTTGATCAATTGTGCAGTGTTTGGAAGTTAAAACTACAACGATTTTCCTTCATTCTCCCCAACAGGTGCTGTGGAAACCCGGGCTGTGCAGACCGCAGACGCTGACTGTATGGCAGAACAGAGCAGAGCTACTGATGTAAGCATACGCTGACATAATCTAGTCGACCAGCTGTTCAGATGTACTCAAAATTCTGTTTTTGTTTTAGATTGCAGTTTCTTTATCTGTGTACCTTACTTGTGTATCAATATAATTTATATTATACTTGTGTATCAATATTTATATTATACTTGTGTATCAATATAATTTATATTATACTTGTGTATCAATATTTATATTATACTTGAGTATCAATATAATTGATATACTTGTGTATCAATATAATATCTTATACTTGTGCATCACTATAATTTGGTCGAAATTCAAATTCTAAAAGTCCAAAACATACAAGAAAAGACACATGACGTAGGTGCAATTCGTAACAGAATTAAAACAGTTATTTAAAACTCTCTCCTTAATATTTTGCGTTGTGGACTTAGAACATTTGACTTTGAACAGAGTGTCGACATAAATAAACGCCAGGGCCGTAATACTCAGAACACTCCTATCTCCGACACACAATGCTCATAGAACAATTAATGTTTCCATCTACATGTTGCTTATACGGCGAATACTTGTGAGAGAGGCTCGCTCATACAACGAATCTGCAGTGAATGGGGACTAAGCAAATCTTATTCAAAGGATTTTCAAAAAGCAATAGCAGCAGTTTACACACAAAAATTGAAAGCATTTGCATTTACATATATATGTATTATGGATAGGCCTTCATTTGTCATGTAAGCATTTGTTACGCAAACATTTGTTTTAAATGAAATTATAATGCCCACGTTTCTCTTACGAGCAAGTATAATGGAAACATTTGCATTACGAGCACTTGTTAGGAGAACAGCTTTTGTATTGTGAACATTTGTAATGTAGATATTTCTCTTGCGATATTTCTCGGCACCGGCGGGAACATAATATATTTCTGTTATTGTTTTTCACACTTTCATTCCGTCTGCAGTTTTCTAGTTCTGATTAGCTCGGGGGGGGGGGGGGGGGGAAGGGGGGGGGGGGGTTAGGGGGGGGGGAGGATCGATGCACCAAATTTCGGTCAACTCGAGAATGTCGTGATCCTTCCAGCAATGACAAAACAACAGCAGTCCCCGCCTCCTCAAAAGCGAAACAAGACAAAAACACAATAACACAAACAACACAAAAGCAACAGTAGCAGCAGCAGCAGCAGCACCAGCACCACACCACCACCACCACCAACAATAACAATAATAAGAAAACAGACCAAACCTAACCAAAACAAGACAAAAACAAAACAAAACTAACAAAAATGTCCAGCTAAGAACTCACCCCCACCACCCTTAAAAACACATAACAAAATAATCACAAACAAAAACAATTCTGTAACATGTGTGGTTTATACTTTACAGGCCTTTCATAATATTATCTTCTTCCACTCTTAGGCACTTTCTAATACATTGGTTTCGTGTGCGCACATGCAATCCAAAGTCATTCACTTACGAACTTATTAATTCGCTCACCCACTAGCTCACGCTGTCAACTCATTCATACTTTCTCTCATTCTCTCAGTCACTCAGTCGTTTATTCAATCACCCCTTCACTTGCTGATTACCAGACGGATTGACTCAAAAATGTGAGTTGTGTTCTGCGCCTAGCCGGCTGCAGTTACAATTTGCTCCGCAGTTTTTGTGCAATTTCTCTATTCCACTGCTTTGGATTATCCTTGGAAATTTTGCCATTTTGCTTCTATTAACCGTGGTTTCTTTGATATATAAATCATGGATTTCTGTGTCAAAATGAATTCAGAATTGAAGAATTTTAGTTTGGAGTCGAAGATCGCAACGATCGCCATAGCCATTTTCAACCTTTATTGCATGGCCCTAGGATCTGTACTAACAACACCATACAGCCCAACGTATATTCTCGGCTCCCGTGACAGAGTGTGTACTTACCAACAATGTTCACAAGAGCCTTTTCCTCTTTTTTTCCTGTGGTTTTTATTGTGACTCTAGGTTGTTGTGTGTTGGTAGAGAAGAGCGCTACCCCAAAAGAATTGTGTACCCCAAGGATCAATTGACACGCGTGAACCAACTGCGTCAATGTGCTGTTTCAGATACCGTGTTGAAACATCTTTCACGTTTTGGAATAAGAAAGTCACCATGCCCATGTAATACACGTGTAAAAAAATACAAAAGAGGTCATAGAGCAGGTACAAGAAAACAAAGACAAATCGATGTTATAGTAACTAATTCCACCAAGCAAGACCAACATAAGATTCGTGGATCGGTGACACTTAACAACTTGATCCCAGTGAACACCTCTATAGAAGAACGGATGATTTCCAAAAGATTTAAAGTACTTCTGCTTAATGCACAGTCAGTTCGTAACAAAACTGTGCTTCTCAATGATCTAATCTCGGAAATGAACATTGATCTCGCATTCTTAACGGAAATCTGGTTGACTTCATGCGTTGACAGCGTTCTTCTGCAAGAACTAACGCCCATAGGATTTTCAGCAGCGTCTTTCCCACGACTGACAAGTCGAGGTGGAGGTATATGTGTCATTGCTAGAAATGGGATGTTATGTAAGTCCCACTGCCTCACCGATTACTCCAGCTTTGAGTGCTCAAAATCTGAGCTTTTAGTCAATAGTCATCGAATCACATTTCTATGTATGTACCGTCCTCCTTACACGTCGAAAAACAAGTGTAGTGCCCATGAATTTTTGAACGATATCCAAGACACTCACATCACCAAGAAACACCAACTAAAACTACTCGGCGACTTTAACATCCACTTTGACTCCCAATCAAATAAATTTGCAAATGACATGAAAAATGTACTGACCACCAGGGGACTCAAACAGGTGGTCAACTATCCAACTTATCAGAGGGGTCACATACTCGACTGGGTCGCCTCAAACATTGTAAAAACTATCGTCGACATTGTTGTCACAGATAAGGTTGTGGTGTATTTGGTTGTTTTTGGTTGTGGCAGGGGGTTAGGCCTAGCCTATTGTATTGTTTGGCTGAAAGTGTGAGAGTGAGTAAAGTGTGAGTCTGTGTTCAGGTGTATTGTTTGCAAGTTGATAAAAGTCTGAGTTACTACTGGTGGGAGTTGGAGAGGAGAGAGTTGTATCAAGGCAGAGGAGGCCTGCTGACAGTATAGATTGTGAGAAAGGCTAGTTAGAGCCTCAGTTCAGTTGTGCGTGAAGTGTGAGATTCCAATTTAACGCATCGGGGCCCCAAAGCTGCGGAAGGAATCACAACACAGAGCAGAGGAACAGGTTTGGCTAATTCCTGTTATAGTGGCATGTGACAGAAGGTTAGTAGTGTAAAATCTTTGTTTTATATTCCAAGTAACAACAAGCTATTTCGGCTAGAAATATAGATCTTTAAGCTGGGGCTGGATTCATCTAGATCTAGAGTGTAGACTAGATTAAGTTGCTAATTATGGCGGCAAAGATGGTGGCGGCTGTTCAGCCTGCTATGGTTAAAACCTTTAGTGGGGAAGGGGATGTCGAGGCATGGCTTACTAAAGTAGAGTTAGTGGCAAAGTTGACGAACATTGATGATGTCGCGAGCTTCATTCCACTGTATCTGGAGGGGGGAGCTTTAGCTGTCTATCTAGAGATGGATGCGAAACAGAAGACTGACATTGTGGCCATTAAAAAGAGTCTGCGGGAAGCCTTTGCAGAGAATCAATTTACTGCCTATGCAAGGTTAAGGGAGTGTAGATGGGCGGGTGAAGCAGTAGATGTATTATTTGCTAACGAATTACGGAGGCTTGCAAGGCTGTGTGGGTTTACTGGGAATGGCTTAGAGCAGATGGTGAAGTTAGCATTCATAACGGGTTTCCCGGACAATGTTGGATTGAAATCTCACACTTCACGCACAACTGAACTGAGGCTCTAACTGGCGTGCGCTGTCGTGGGCGGGTCTCCGGCACAGGTAACGCAGAGGCCCGATGGACTTACCATCCAGGACAAAGATTTTGAGGCAACCTTCGGTGGGAATGTATGGACAGTTAGGTACTTTTGGAAGGACGTTTGTGCCCCAGAGTTGAGGAACAAGGTTGCCATGTATGACAGTGGAATGCTGGGAGCAACGAGGGAGCTTTTCAACAAAGAAGTTGAAAAATGGATTGAGGACGGAATACTGCTGCCATGGGATGGGGAGGTGGACGGAATTATCCCGTAGATGGTGGTCGAGCGGCCTACGAAAAACAAAATCCGACCAGTCCTAGACTTTCGTGAGCTGAACAAGTACGTAGAGTGCCACACAGGAGATGAACTTATTGATGTTTGTGCAGACAGGATGCGAAAGTGGCGGAAGATTGAAGGGGAGCCAGAGATTGTGGACCTTAGCGCTGCATACTTACAACTTCGTGTCAGTCCAGATCTCTGGAAGCATCAGTTGGT